TTTTACCGAGCCAGATTGATAGTCTCGCTGGGCCCATCCATCTGGCAGCCGCATCTCCAACCACCATGGATCAACTTCTTCCCTCCCGGAGATAGTCTCAAACCCGACTTGGTGAGTCTCCGGTTTTACATAGCTATTCATCCATCCCTCCGGTTCAGCTATCGGATAAGGCTGCCTCCTCCCGAAATCTCGGTATCGCTGCTGAAGTGCCGATACACATCCGGCGAAGAGTGTTTTTGGGCTGTTCATGAACTGTTAAGTGGGCTTCTTAGCTCAATGGACTTTCCCATTTCAAGCCTATCCCCGAGTTCCACATATCTTGATGTCTTCCTCGATTGGTTCATCAGGATAGTTATGATCTATTCGGAAGTGGTGATGTCGAGCTTAGCAATCTCCTTCCTATGGAAGAGACTTTTGCAAACTTCCTTCTCTTTGAGAGGTGAAATTATCCCGAGCTAATGCCGGGAAAAACTATGAATGTTTTTGTCTATGTGCTTTCTTGGGTAGTGGTTCGTATGAGACCCGAAGAGAAAAATGAAATCGCTTTGGTGAATTTCGGAGGAAAGACTTCAGCTTCAACGTCACTATATGTGACTAAATCCAACCGTTGCGGCTTGCCGGCAAGATCTCATCGACGCATTCGAGTTTGACTCCGAATTTGATGTCATTTGATCACTTTCTATCTACTTTAATGTATTTTGTCTTTAATTTGTATTATCAAAACTTCAGAGGATGGATAATTCCCTCTTGTAGTATGGAAGAGTAAGAAATGAAAAGAATATGTTGAAAAAAAAACTATAAATTATAATGTATATTTAACATTATTTTAAGAAAAACGATTTTATTTTTATTTTTAGTTTCCAGATTATGTTATATAATTTAGTTCATACTTTAGATATTATTGAAATCAAATATTAATAAATTCAATACATATAATTTAGCACTTGTTAATTATTTCATTTGTTTTTTTTTCTCAATTCCCCATGTGGTCACTTTCTACAATTCTGCATAATTTTACAATTTATACAAATGGTAACATAATTTATTTTTTCCACAAGTTTTCCTCAAAATTCTTCAACATTAGTGTTATCAGTTAGGTCCTATGTATCTCAATCTGGATGCAACAATTGGAGGTAAGATGAGTTCCATCTAAAAATTTCAACCTTATTTAGATGAAATCAAAAGTAAAGTTCGGATGGAGCAACAACTGAAACACAAAGAGTCAAAATTATCTTAATTGAAATCAAAATTGTTGAAGTATTAATTTATGTTAATTTATTGTTTGTTAACAAAATAGAAAAATAAAAAAAAATTATAAGAAAGAA